TGGAAGAAGTGGAAGTGGATGCAGGGGAAGTGGATCTGGGGAAGTGGATGCAGGGGAAGTGGATGCTGGGGAAGTGGATGCTGGGGAAGTGGATGCAGGTAGATCCCCGGGGCTTGCCAGCAGCCAATCCACCCCAGGCTGTGAGCTCTGAGTTCAGAAAGAGACCCTGTCTCAAGAAATGAGGAGCATGGTTGGAGAAGGCACCAAAATCAACCTCAGCCTCTACACATGTGCATGTATATGCACACACATATTTACAAAGGTGCACATATGAACATGTACATACATTTACACAAGATTAAAATTAAAGTATAAGCCAGCATGGTGGCTTATGCTTATAATCCTACCACTGGGAAGTTGAAGTAGGTTGATACTATCTGAGGCCAGCCTGGGCTACATAGCAAGATCCTGTCTCCAAAAAAAAAAAAAAAAGAACATAAAATAAGTTAAAAGTTACAAATTATTGGTATAAAGAGGAACATTTGTGTTATGTTATTTTGAAAATGATTTTTGAATTTTTGTGAGTTTTTTAATTTTGTTTTGTTTTTTTGTGACAGGGTTTCTCTGTAGCTTTGGAGGCTGTCCTGGAACTCACTCAGTCCAGGCTGGCCTTGAACTCAGAGATCCACCTGCCTCTGCCTCGCAAGTGCTGGGATTAAAGGTGTGTGCCACCACCACCCAACAATTTTTGTAATGTTTTTAGACTACATAGAAAATTCAAAAGTCAAAAGGAAATGAAAGAAAAGAGCACATATGACATCTGTGATGAGCAAAGAACTGCTGTGTCATATGTGGATTATTTCATTCATCCTCATCTCTTGGTGGAACATTTCTGTGTGCCAGAAAGAATTCTGCAAGTTGTGGGCAGTTACTAGAGCAGAGCCCCTGCTCTCCAGAGCTGACCACCCTGTGAGGAGGGTAGAAAGGAGATTTGTTTTGTTTTGTTATTTTGGTTTTTTGTTTTATGAGACAGGGTTTCTCTCTGTATAGCATTAGAGCCTGTCCTGGAACTCTTTGGACTAGGCTGGCCTCAAACTCACAGAGATCCTTCTGCCTCTACCTCCCATTAATGGTGCCACCACCACCTGGCAAAAGGAGATTGTTATAGGAGAAATGTGGATTCCAAAAATTAAAACAGGGGTATTGCTAGGAGGGTTGGCAGGGTACATACTGTATGGTCCTTCAAAGAAGTGTCACTAAGGAAGTGACATTTATCAGTGTCCTCTTCTTTATTTTTAATTCCGTGCCAATAAGAAGACAAATGGAGGGGTCAGATGGCTTCTTGACTTTGAGCCTGGAAGGACGGAGGCCACTTGACTACTTAAGGAGGCCTGAAAGGCTTGCTTGGGGAACATGAGCATGTCAGTGTAGATCCTTTGTCACATACTCAGGTGGAGGTGTTAGGGAGAGGGATGGGTGGACAAGACTAGAGTTCAGGGGACAGCCAGGCTGGACACAGAAGCTTGGGGTTGTCACAGTATGGGTGGTATTGGAGATAGTCAAAATAGAACTCCTAGGGGTTAAGTATAGACAGAGACAGTGGCCAGGGAGAGTCAGCTCTCCTGGTGCCACGTGGAGGGAATGCGAGCTGACCTTTTGATCTAGAAAAGAGTGGTCCCTGCTGAACTAGCATGGGCAGCCACAGTCTTGTAAAGATGTCATGAAGGGACAAAGCCTGATATGGGGGCCAGAGAGATGGCTCAGAAGTTAAGAGTATTGGCTGTTTTTCCAGAAGACTAGAATTCAATTCCCAGCACCCATACAGTGTCTCACAACCTCTGTGACTCCAGATTCCAGGGATCTGATGCCCCTTTCTGACACCCATGGGCAATAGGCACACAAGTGGGTATATAGACATCATGCAAGCAAAACACCCACCTACATACAATAAAGTAAAATTAAATTAGATTTTAAAAATCCTGATCTGAGTTAGAATATACGGAGAAAACAAGAAAAAATCTGGAGACACAGAAAATGGGACAGTAGGAAGACAGTGTCCCAAACAGTTTATTTGGTTCTGGGAATGGCACAGAACTAAGGTAGAGCACTTGCCCAGCAAGCAAAGGCCCTAGGTTCAATATCCTGAACAATAGGGAAGAATAATGTTTTGGCTTTTTCCCTTCCAAGATGCAGTTACATGACAGATGTTCATCCAGATGAGAATGACCCAGCTGTGTGGGGAGCATGGATGATGTAGGATTGGGCAAGGGGTAGGGGGCCTGGAGTGGTGGTGTGAGCAGATGAGAGCCATAGGGTTCAGGCAGGCCTTAGGGAAGGGAAAGCTTCAACAGCAACACCCACTTGGGCTGATAGATGTGTTTGCTGGCCACCATTTGACCTGAAGAAACCAAGCTAGCAGGGCTGGGGGTGTGGCTCAGTGGTAGAGCATTGGCAGCATGCATGAGGCCTTGGCTTCAGACTCCAGTACTGAGGTGGGGGTGGTGTGGGAAGGAGAGAGAGAAAAAGGAGAAAAATTAACACCTAAAGTGAGAATGAGGGGGATGCTGGAAGTTGGACAGGAGAGACAACAGGAAGTCCCTGAGAGCAGAAGGGACACCAGTGGCTAGGGGTGTGAAGGAAGGCTGGCAGCTCCACAGGCCTCCAAAGTGTGCTTTCTCTGCAGCACACAGGTGAACACCAGGCAGAAGGCATGTGGTAGAGAAATGGGGGCTGAGTACAGACACCAGGGGTGGGGCACACAAATATCTGCAAAGGGAGAAGCAGCATCAGTAATAAGGAAAGTTTTGGAGATTGGCAGGGCCTATTTGGGGGATAGAAATTACCAGAGCTGCCCAGTAGATGCCCTGCTTTCAGAAATTAATTCTAAGAGGTAGCAAATGGAGACACACACATAAAGATGTAGATTCCAGAAGTGTGTGTAAAAGTCGGCACTGGCCTGACTGGGAAGGGGTTGGTGACTAGCCTGAGGGCATAATAGTGATTTGGGGGAATAGTGCTCATCCTTACCCTCTTTTGCAGATGTGGGAACTTGGGCCCAGAGGCTGGGAGTGACAGCTCCAGTCAAATCCTGTGGAGCTTGGAGCCCTTGGCAGCCCACTGGGCAACCCCTCTTCACCAGGGTTTGGCATTAGAATCCTGTACAAGGTACTTCTGACCTTTTCTGAGCCAGCTAACTTTATGTTTGTAAAATATAAACTTGGAAAAAAGCTTGTACTGTCATTTGCAATGCCTTCATTTAATTATGCAAGCAGATGCTGGGGAAAAAAGGGGGTGGGGCAAGGGTTGGGTAGGAGCAGGGTGGGGATAAAAAGAGAGGCACCATATTACCTTAACTCTGCTGGAGGATTGGAGGATTGGTTTTTCAAGACAGGGTTTCTCTGTGTAGCTTTGGAGCCTATCCTGGCACTCTCTCTGGAGACCAGGCTGACCTTGAACTCACAGAGATCCGCCTGCCTCTGCCTCCCGAGTGCTGGGATTAAAGGTGTGCAGCACCAACGCCCGGCTGGATTTAGGCTTTCTTTTGGAGAGGAGTGGCAGTTGGGTCTGGGCCCTACTAATTTTGCCCAGGCTAGTCTTGAACTCATGATCTTCCTGCTTCCACCTCCCAAGAACTATGTGTGTGCCACCATGCCCAGCTATCTATATACCTCTTATATTTTGTGCTTTACTACAATTTTCTTTTACAAAAACCATAACGAAAGCACAAAACCCCACTTGTGCTTCATGGTTATTCCACTGAGTATATATTTATTAATTAGAAGGAAATGAAATTGCCTGTGTCTGAGTTTATGTGGGATATTGGGTCACCTCCCCAAGTCTCAGTCTGGCTTATTCTTTCCCCAGTGTAGGTCCTAGAAGAAGCCACTAAACCTCTCTGGTCACAGAGACACTTGCACAAAGATGTAGTGCCTTCACTAATTGCAAATTAAAACTCTCAAAATAAGCATGAGGCCTTTCCCATTGCCCTATGTGCCTCTCCTGGGCTGCGGGGTGAGTGATGCTATTGCAGTAAGCCAGACCCACGTCCTCGGTGCCATCCAGGCCCTGTACCCCCACAGAAGAACATACTGAAATAACTCTCCCAGGGCTGGTGATGGCTCATGCTGCCCTTCCAGAAGCCCAAGTTCAGTTCCCAGCACCCACATGGGGCAGCTCACAACTGCTTGTAACTCCAGCTCTAGGGGAACTGGATGCTTCATGATTCCACAGGTACCACATTCATGTTCACAGACCCACACAAACATAAGTAAAAAGAAAACAAGTGTTTAAAAATACAGCATTTAAAAAGAAGTAAGTGTTCTCTTGTAATCGTTTTAGTACCTTCCTTTCAATGGCGGACCAGAGAATGGACATCTCCTCAACAATCAGTGACTTCATGTCCCCAGGCCCCACCGACCTGCTCTCCAGTTCCCTGGGCACCAGTGGTGTGGACTGCAATCGCAAGAGGAAAGGCAGTGCCACCGACTACCAGTAAGGCCTTTGGCACAGTCAGCTCATGTCAGGGCATGAGCACAGAACACCTGTCCACAGCTGCTGTTGTTCCTAGCGGAAGGTGTGGGAGACTAAGAGCTACACATTTGATTTTGGCTGTTCCTAAATGTCAAGTGAAGATGGCCAGCAGTACTGCTGATGTGTTTATGTTACCTACTGTCCTCAGATTATTCCATGTTGTGGGAGAAAAGAGCTTTAAAGCCAGGTCCTGCCCCACCCCCACCCCCCTGCTTCCTTCGCTAGTAGGAGAACTCAGTTTGGGGAAGTGATGTCAAGAGAGCTCACATGCAGCCTCTTTGAAGACAGAACGTTTCAACTCTTTAACTCATGTGTATGGCGTGGAGGAGTAGAAGCCAGCATGTCCACAGCCTAGGGTCATTGACACTATGTGAATTAGCATGTACCTGCACTGTTCAGCCATATTTCTGTTTCTCTTTAGACTTGACTTTTCTTTTGAGTGAGTACATTTTCCTACTCGCCACCCACTCTCCTCCCCCATAGTCTGCTAGGGAGGGAGACAGGATAGACCACTCAGAGGCAGCTGTGCAGAGTCCATTGAAGGGATTTTCTTTTGTTGAATTGAGTGGAAAATCTCTCAGGAGGCAGTGCCCCCAGCAGATGGCCTCTCTGCTGAAGTTCACAGGTCCAGTCTGGGGAGCACACAGAGGCTGGAGCTCAGGTGTCCTCTAGGAGATGCTATGAATGATGTGTATGTCATCCCAGATAACTGAGAGAGGCACCACCCAGGAGATGGAAAGTCGATGTGAGGACTGTGGGGCTCCTGCCATAGCGCTCACTCCTCAACACAGGCCAGGGCATTTTTTGTGAAGCTTTGTTTTGGGCAAATGCCGATGGAGCGACTAACATGTTCTAAGATTTTTGTTGGACCTGTGGTTTCTAGCCTCATCATCACCCAGTAACCTTCAAGCTTCCTCTGTGGATCTCAGTTTTACAAATAACATTCTAGAATCCATAGTTCTGCCCCATGTAGTTTTCCTAAGTTAAGGCCCTGGCTTCCTGTCACCTGGGGATGAGCTTGGTTATAGCAGTAGACATAATTCCAGTGCCTTGTAAGCAGTATGACTTTCTCTGAACCCCAAGACTAGCTGGAGAAGCTGCCTATGAAATATCCAGGGCATCTCATTGGGAGCCACTGTTCCTGGATGCCCAGCATTCCAGAAAACAGTTTGTATTGTTTGAAGAGCCATAGTCCTTCCCTTGGGAGACAGAAAAGTCAGTCAGTACCTTCCTGATGATTGTTTGAGTTGGACAAAGGAATGAGCTGCCCTAAGGAGAGCCAAACCCTTTCCTTTGGGGGATTTCAGTTTGTGTTTACTGAACTGCTAAATGCTATGAAACACAGATTTCTGGGGTCTGTGAAAGGGAGGCAGGCCCTACTGTGACCCCAGTACTCTCTGTGGCCCTTGGCCCTGTACTCCTCTCCATCTCAATTTCTTGAGCCTGTGGTGGCCAGGCCTGTGCCTGTAGCCTGGGGCTCTGCTCTGCTCTGCTCTTCTGGTCAGTGCTTTCCTTACCCTCTTCTCACTTCCTCCCCCACCCAACAAATAGACATATGCCCTAGAATCTTTGGTTTTTGGTTTGCTTTGAAATGGAGTAATCTGCCGGGTGTTGGTGGCGCACGCCTTTAATCCCAGCACTCGGGAGGCAGAGGCAGATGGATCTCTGTGAGTTCCAGGCCAGCCTGGTCTCCAGAGAGAATGCCAGGATAGGCTCCAAAGCTACACAGAGAAACCCTGTCTCGAAAAACCAAAAAACAACAACAACAACAACAAAAGAAATGGAGTAAGCTTCATTTATCATCTATCCAGAACAACCAAGGAATGAGGTGACATAGATGTCTGACTACTCTGGGTAACTAAGAGTCTCCATAAACACTGTAGATTTCCAGTTTTTAAACAGTCGTACTATGCCCTAGTTTATTGAACATATACACACTTTTGTTTGGTAATGTGGAATGCCTGTGTAGGCTTTATAATAGGGTCCACTTGAATGTGTTTGCTCATGTTACTATTATACATCCATTCTATATCATAGTTATTTGAGCTTTCTGAATAAATGAGAGCCTTTTATATGACAATAAGAAGTTATGTTGAGCATCTAGATTAACGTGATCATCTGCTCTTGTTTTTGCAGAGAAAGTATGGACACAGACAAAGATGACCCTCATGGAAGGTACCATAACTTAATAACTTGAACTTCAGTTATCTTGTGGCTATTCTCTCTGCACAGTGAATGCAAAATGTCTCTCTATCCCCAGTCTCTAGCAAGGATAATAACCAAGTACCCCTGTGTGTCTGTAGAGAGGTGTCAGGGGTCAGGCAGTGAGAAAACAGAAATGTGTAACTCTGCCAGTCATACACGGGGGACTAAAGGTTATGTTTTTGTACTTCCTTCCAGGTTAGAATATGCAGAGCACCAAGGAAGGATCAAGAATGCAAGGTAAGTTCCACCTTTGATTTTGTCTATAAAACATCCTAGCTTTTTAGTCGCTTAGAGAATAGCTGAAGAGTCTTGATATGTCTATTCCCAATTGGTGGTGTCATCTTGGGCATTGTCACCTCAGGAAATGAGGAGATGGCAGCAGGTTTCAGCTTGTTTAAGGTTCTGCCCTTGGCTTTCCCTATACTAAGCTGGCCTTCACTTGTTGCTATCTATGCACATTTAACCTGGAGGAAACTTTGGACATAGCAGAAAGTCATTCAGGCTGGAGTTCTCTCCAGTCTTCACAGTTCCTCACTCACTGGCCCTCCAGAAGACATATGGCTGAGATGCCATTCCTGGGCTGGGCCCCACCTCTGATAAGGACCTTTATTGTGCTGCAAGTAGTACCTGAAGGGCAGATCTTAGGCATCCCTGAACCTCAGAGGTCTCCTGACTTAGTTCTTGTCTCAGGCACAATTGCTGATGCCCTTCTGTTGGGTCTTTATGCCTCCCTGCTATCACTGACTAGGGCCAGTTGAGGTTGTGTCATGACACACAGAACCAGAAGCTGCAGACTGTCTAACCTGACACTTCTAGCATCTCCTTTGCAGACCAGTCTATTCAGGGGGCTCTGTGTTTCAGTATCTAATTCTCCATTGGTGATGTTCCCCTATGGGAGGATGGTCAGAAAATACCAGGTGCACATCTTGTAGGAAGTGTCATCCTACCTAAACAGGCAGCCAGTTCAGGGGTAGAGTATGATATGGCATCCCTCAAAGGAAGGCTGGGGACAGACTGAGAATCTGTCACATCTAGGTGGGTCTCAGTTGATCAAAGACCATGTTAGTACTAGTTATATCCTCCAGACAGACATGATGGCTTCAGCAGGGCACACAGTGGGCTGGTCACAGGTGGCAGAGGCACGTGCTGTGGGATGTTGGGTGTTCTGTGGCTGTTTTAGATGCTTGGCTATGTGGAATTCCTTCCTTCCTTCCTTCCTTCCTTCCTTCCTTCCTTCCTTCCTTCCTTCCTCCTATCCCTTCCAAAAACCTGGTCTTACAGAATCTGAAAAAAAGAACAATGAGGAAAAATAAACAATTCAGTTTGTTGTGAAAGAACAATTGTCATAGATTTTTTTTTCTTAAAAGATGGGGTAAGCATCAAAAACAAATAAATGAAGAAACAAATCAGTTACCTAATTCTGAATTGTCAATGAGAACACTTGGGAGGTGATTTTTAATATAAAAGTCTAATTTGAAACATGGTACAGAGTCTGAATTTCCCATGTCAGAGAATTTTGGAAGCAGTCACAACTCATTTATTTTTGTCAGTGTTGCCTCAATGCTGCCTCACATCTCAAATGAAATCATTCTACCCATGTTCAGGGAGGCCCACAGTCAGATTGAAAAGAGGCGTCGGGACAAAATGAACAGTTTCATTGATGAGTTGGCTTCTTTGGTACCAACATGCAATGCGATGTCCAGGAAGTTAGATAAGCTCACCGTGCTAAGGATGGCTGTTCAGCACATGAAAACATTGAGAGGTGAGATCTCAGGCTTCATTACCTTTATGCCCTTGACCACAAATGTGACCACCCTTGCCTGCACTGTCCCTGACACAAATGGCGATTTTCAGTGTATAACCCTCAGTGATATGCTGGTACATCTCAGCAACAGATAAGGGGCCAAATCAAGTGATTAATGAGCCCATGAGGGTACTGAGGTGTAATTTGCAGTAGTATCTTCTCAGAGCATATAAACATATGAGCTCAAAACCTCTGTGTGCCTGGCTTCCTGCCTACCAGAGAGGGCACCTCTCAAGTCCCCCTTTTCAAGTGCCTGAATCCCTTATAGTGATCAAAATCAGAAGCATAGGAGCACACAGGGAGGCAGGAGAGAGCCTTGGACTTTTAAGAGAAAAACTTACCCTGGTTCTTCTGATGAGTGAGTCACAGGTAGAATGTCTTATTATCAGAAATGAACATTGATGATATTTTCGTCTTCTTGGAATTTTCCCGAACTCGATTGACTCTTCATGAAGGAGGCAGTGTTTTCCTTCTTTGCTAAGTGTGGGGAGGGTGAGAAAACAGAGGCAGTAAAGAAGAGCCAACTTACCAAAGCTGCAGGAGGAACCTGAAATACATCACCCAATTTGGTGGATGTTGTCCCTGGAATTTTCCAGATAGACTTGGGCTTCAGCACAAACTTGGAAAGGGTGCTCAGCCCCATGTGACCTACATGGTGAGAGAGGCACACCTTTGTATCTGTGTAAGGTCACCAGAAACAGGAAGTTGTTTTTGTTCTGACTTTTGATCATTATTAAAAAAATATATAGAAATGTTGCTTGAAGAATGGCATTGAAAACTTGATTTTAGTCAAGAGATGCATCATAATTAGGTAACTAATTGTTATAGAAAATTGGATGGAAAATTTCAAGGGATGTGGATTAAGACATGTGCCTTGTGAGTTGATGTGAAGTACACAGGCATCCCCTTTGCCTCCTTCCCCGCGGGGCCTTGATTTTCACAGATGGGCTGCCTCTTAGCCCTTCACTGTGCCCTCACTGTTCTGCATATACCAGTCATTTGCAGCTGGCACTTGGCTTTGCTAAGCTATTGCTCTGGAGAACAGCAGATCAAGAGCCTTTTAAACAGAAGTCTGGGCCCCTCAGTTCCCAGGACTGAACTGTGTGAATGAAAGTAACATGCTCCCCAGGTTGCCAAGCATATTAACTTTCCCAAGGAAAGTACCCAGGACCTGGCAGCTTGGATGATTTCTCTAGAACCTGCTAAGTGGTGACTTGACAAAATTACTGGACGGCCCAGGACCTTGGACCTCTTTTCCTTGGAACCTGCTAGGGAGACTCAGAGCTGTGGTCTTTGTGGAGTTTTGTTAGTTTGTTTTTGTTTTTTGAGACAGGGTCTCACTATGTAGCTCTGGCTAGCCTGGAACCATGTAGACCAGACTGACCTCAGTCTCAGAGACCTACCTACCTCTGACTTCTGAGTGCTGGGGTTGAAGGTGTGAGCTACCATGCCTGTTTCCCCGGTAATTAGGAAAGTGCACTTACTCAGTCTCCTGTGGGCAGCAGCATTCTCTTTTCACTGAGGTTCTACTTTGGCATGATAGGATTCTGAGCCAAGCCAGATCCACCATGTTTTGATTCAGCCCAGGTTGCAGGCAGGGGAACGTGATGCTGTCTAAATAGAAAAATCTGCCCACTCTTTCTTTTTCTCCCCAAGGTGCCACGAACCCATACACAGAAGCAAACTACAAGCCAACATTTCTATCTGATGACGAATTGAAACATCTAATTCTCAGGGTATGTGGCAGTTGTGGGAACTCTTTTCACGGCATTGGTTTCTTAATAAGTTTCAGAGTAAGTACATCATGAAGGAGTCTGACATCTCGACACTGAATTCTCCTGGGCCCTCTTCCTCTCTTGTTTCCCCCACTTTATCTTGGTTTCTAGACACATTTCACATTCCTTCCATGAAACCAGTCACTCACCTACCTCTCAATATCACTTAGGCAAAGAAGGGAAAGTCTACAGTAGTGTGACTTTTAAGCCAGAGAAGGATTTTTGTTAAAAAGGGGAGTGAGGGGCTGGAGTGATGGCTTAGTGGTTTAGAGCATTTGTTGCTCTTGCAGAGGACCCAGGTTTGATTCTCAGCACCCACATGGTAGCTTACAACCATCTGTAACTCCAGGGGATCCAGTGCCCCAGACACCAGGCACAGATGTGATACACATATGTGAATGCAGGCAAAACACTCATACATATAAAATAAAATAAACCTTAAAAAAGAGATGGGGGGTGAGTTAAGAATCAAACTCCTTCATGGAACATTCAGAGAGGTTTTTTTCTGGCAGTGGGTGAGATCTCCTCTAACCTAACCACTGACCCAAAAGCTCCATTTGAATCTTTACACCTGAATCTATCCAGACATCAAAATTGCCAAAGAGGAGGCATGAAAGAGGATGTGCTTTCACTTGCTTGGCCTTCGTGCTCTCTTTGTCTTGCTTATCTCTGCAGAGGGATGGCCAGGTTGGCACCCTAAGAACTTAAGCTTCCACAAAGGAGGCGTGCCCCAGGCTCCAGTCATGGTGCTGGGAAGAGTGAGATGAACTAAGAAATGGAAAGGAGAAGAGCCTGCATTCAGCAGCATGCCCTATGGCACAGTATAAACAGAAAGAACAGAAAACTGTAATTAAGAGGTAGAATACCTACCCCTAACCCCACACAATGAAGGCAGACCTTGCCTGTCAGCCCTCCTCCCCCCAAGGATTATGGCTGTGTCTTTCAGCAGAAGTTTGCAAAGCCCAGGATGGTTCCCACCTCTTTTCTACTCAGCTTGGCTCAACATGTTGTATTGGCCTGTTAGCTCAGGATGAGCTGCATCAAGTCAGAAGGTTTCAGCCATTGTGAACAGACCTGATGGGTAGATAGTTTCTCATGTGGCTGATGTGGGGTGGGCTGTGTAGGGTTGCTATGGTGGCTGTGCAAGTCTGCAGGAGCCAAGCTCCTTCTCTGTTCATACAGCTGGCTAAGTGAGCACACTGGCTGATTGACTTGGTGTAGCAGAGGCTGTGCCAGGTCTGAGCAGTCAGTACTTTTCCATGTTAACTTGTCCTGCTTCTCCAGCCTGTTGGTGGCTGTGAGCTAATGTCCACTCCCTTAACATTTTTCAGGGGCCACTTGCTAAGAACATGTATCAACAGCAGGCAGTTCCACTTACATGATGTTTATGCTGTTTTATTTCTTACTGGGTAGGGTAATGGGATCTTTATTCCCCCATTTCTCACTGGATCCTTTCTCCTCATTTTACTTTCATGCCATATATACACATGTACATATGTGTGCATTTTAAATCTGGATTCCACATATGAGAGAAAGCATGTGATACTGGTCTCTCTGAGTCTGGCTTAGCATGATCTCCAATCCCATCTATGGTCCTATTAATTTTAGTTTTATTTACAGCTGAATAAATGATTCTAACATACACACACACACACACACACACACACACACACACTTTCCCCTCATTCATTCTACTCACGTCTCGATGAATGTTTGGACTGATTCAAATGATCTTGCCGTAATTAGCAGCAGGTCCTTATTCTCTTGTGGTCAGTGCAAGCCGTCTTTTCTATGTGCCTTTACTAAAGATCCTATTCTAGCGCTATACTAGAACTTACTATGTAGCCCAAGCTGACTTCAAATTCTTGTAATCCCTTTGCCTCGGTCTCCTGGGTACTGAGATTCCAGAGCTGAGCCACCAAGCCTGGCTCTCATGAACAGCATGTGAGGGTCAGTCAACCTGACCAGCTTATATGTCCAGATGCTCCACTTCCCTGCATTATGAACTTAGACTGACTCCCCTCAGTCACTTGCTCGCCAGCAACCATTTTCTCTGAGAAGGAACCAACCCTGGCTGTCCTCATGGCCCTTGGCACGGAGCGTGTCCTCACGAAGCTCTGCTCTTGGCTCTCCCCAAGGCTCAGCGTCTTTGCTTGGCTGTCTGCTTCACATAGCACAGCACTGTTTGGAGTTCACAGTACTGACTGGATCCATGCTGATTCTGCCACCTACCTGCCCTCCTTAGAAACCTTTGGCTCTGGTCTGGGGTCAAGCCTCACTCTGCCCAATGTTCCCACCAGGCTGTCAGTCACTTTTTTTCCAGGCACCTTTCACGACACATCCCCACCCCCTTAGCAAAAACCCTGAAAACACTTCTCCTGTGAACTGTGACAGTCTGTAAGGCAAATGAGGAAGTTATTAATATCCAATTTTTTGACATAATGAGGCTTCCAGCAGATGGTGCCAGGAAAATTACTTCCCCCTCACTGTCATCCTTCACCCTGGCCCAGCTTAGGGACCTGAGCTTACCATGGCTGGTGGCTTGACAGGTTCTCATATTGAGTGATCCTGTCCCCCTTGTTCTTACTTTTATATCCTAGGACACTTGCCTGCTTTAGTCATTTACATTCTAGGACAGTTGCCTGTGCTGGCCCTTTACACCCTAGGACAATTGCCCATGCTGGTCTTTTACTTTTTGACACTTGAATTTGTGCCCTAGTTCTTTGAATTAAACTGTGTTCTATATTCTAAAAGGCCTTCTTTGTGAAAAGAATAGACTTTTTTTTTAATTTGTCAAAAACTTAGGAATGTTGCAGTAATTAGCAGCAGATTCTTGCTCCTCTTGTGGCCAGTGCAAGCGGTCTTTCCAATGTGCTTTTACTAAGGACCTTATTCTAGCCCAGACTGACCTAGAACTTGCTGTGTAGCCCAGACAGACTTCAAATTCTTGCAGTCCTCTTGCCTTGGTCTCCGTGGTGCTTAGATTCCAGACCTGAGCCACCATGCCCAGCTTGCAGAATCTCTCAGGATCCAGGAGAGCAGAGTCCTAAGAACAAGTGCATGAGGGGAGCATCCCCACCACACCACCAGACTCCAGAAAGGCTAAGTGGTCATCCATGGGGAGCACCACCACCACACTACCACCAGACTCCAGCAAGGCTGAGTGATCATCCATGGAGAGTTGTCAGGACAATTCAGACACATGGAGCTAAACAACCTAACCCCTTCTTGTCACTCTGGCACCTACCTCCTTCCATCTCTCTCCAGCAGATGGCTTGTTTCCATTCTGGTCTTTGTTGGCACTTTAGATTTCACTGTATTTAAATTGAAGAAGGACTAGGAAGAATTTCATGATGAAGTTTTTTTTTTTTTTTACTTTTTTTTTTTTTGTGTGTGTGTGTGTGTGTGTGTAAGTAGGACTCGAACCCAGGGCCTCATGCCTACCAGGCAAGCATCTCATCATCACTATCACTTTGTTTTTCTTACAACAGATAACTTAGCTTTGGATGGAGATGTAAATGGTTGAGGGCAGTAGTTCCTGAACCTACATATATTTGAACTGTGTTTGTGTATTTGGGCACACGCACAGGAAGGAGGGATGTAGTTAGGTTTTTCTTTGGGTTGTCAGCTCACCAATAATGACACAGAAACTTATTATGAATTATGAAAGCTTGGCCAATAGCTTGTTTCTAACTCAGTCTTATAGTTTAAATTAACCCATTAATCTTCATGCTGCCATGTGACTCATGGCTTTTATCTTTCCTCCTGCATGTCTGTTCCCTCTGCATCTGGCTGGTGGACTCCTTATTCTTCCCAGAGTTATCTCTCTGCCCTGTACCTCTTCCTGCCTAGTTATTGGCCATTCATCTTTTTATTAAACCAGTCACAGTGACACATCTTCACACAGTGTAATGGAACACTGCACAATGCAGGGGATGTTTAAAGGAACACAAGTGACCCATCTTCCTGCCAGGCCATTAGCAAAACCCCAAACTCCCTGTGAATGAGGATGTAGCTGATAAAAATACCCTGGCGAAAAGTGAGTATGTAAGGAAGAGCTTATTTGGCTCACACTTCCAACTCCTTGGTCCATTACAGGGAAGTGAAGGCAGGCTTTAAGCACTGCATCCACAGTTAGGAGCAGTGAGAGAGAGTAATGCATGGATCCTTGCAAGTTGTAGTCAGAAACAAAGAGAATAAATGCACAAGTCCCTGCCTGCCTGCTTGCTCAGTTTTTCTCCTCTCTTATACTGTTGAGGACCTTCTACCTAAGGAATGGTGTTGCTCCAACAGACAGAAATGCCCACAGGTCAATCTGATCAACATAATTCCTCCTTAAGACTCTCTTCCTGCGGGCTGGAGAGATGGCTCAGGGGTTAAGAACACTGGCTGTTCTTCCAGAGGTCCTGAGTTCAATTCCCAGCAACCACATGGTGGCTCACAGCCATCTATAATGAGATCTGGTGTTCTTTTCTGGCGTGCAGGCAGAACATTGTATATATGATAGATAAATCTTAAAAAAAAAAAAAAAGACTCTTCCTGGGTGGCTCCAGACTGTCACGTTGAGAGCTGAAGTTGATTGGGGCAGAGGGACTGTATATAATTAGAGTACTGAAGCATAATACTCTGGCCTGTCAGACAACCAGATTATGTTTAAGCTGAATTCGTTCTGAAACAGACTTTATTTAATTGACCTTTCCCCTCTGATCATTAGATGACATGGAATCTATAGCTGCCTGAGAGGGGATCTTACTGCTTTCATATAGTATTGTCGCTAAGCATCCTCTTTCTCTACCACCAGTGAAGGTGTCAGTGCGTGACTCCAGGCATTGGAGACTTAGAAAACGAATCCCTGATTTACTTTCAGATCCTGTATCCTGACCTGTGATAAATTGATTATCCATTTCTCCTGATTAGGCAGCAGATGGATTTTTGTTTGTCGTAGGATGTGACAGAGGGAAGATCCTCTTCGTCTCTGAGTCCGTCTTCAAGATCCTCAATTATAGCCAGGTAACCTTCGAGCCCATGCTAGCAGCCACCAGCTTTATGGTAGTGAGAGATAAAACCCCAGTTTTTCAGAAGAATTAAACTATATGGACCACAGGTGATACCCTTCTTCCAGAAATTCTTAACTTCTTAATGGAGAAAGGAATTTAGACTTAGGAAGAATTTTAATGGGTCCTCTATTTCCCCAACTGGAATATCTGACTCTGACCCAACCAACAGTTTGTTTTCTTATTGCTACAAAATGAAGATCCCATGTCTGTGGACTAGGAGTGGGGAGTAAGGCTGTCTGACAAGGGAGAATTCAATACCCAAGAATAAGAATCTTGGAAACTTACCCCACAGTGCTAGGATGCTCTGTGAGCCTTGGCATCCTCTACACATTAATAATAATGACCAGGTGGCCTTAGTTTCTTGTCTTGTTATAAAACACACTGACAGAAGTCAACACAAGGGTGAAAGGGTTTATTGCAGATCAGGTGGAGGTTACAGTCCATCAGGGGCCTTAGGCAGCTGGTCACATCACATCCACCTTTAAGAAAGAGCAAGCAATGGGTGCATGCAAGCCCCACCTCCCATTCTCCGTTTATTCGATCCAGGATCTCAGTCAGGGAATGGGCTTGGCTCAGTGGGTGGGTTGCCCCACACCAGTTACCCCTAGCAAGCGTGCCCATATGCCCATCTTTCAGGGGATTCTAGATTCTGTTAACATTAACTGTCCTACACAGATTTTTAGATTGCCTGTAGGATTAAATAAGAGGAGCACATGAAAGCTTCTAGAATAATCATTTCACCTATTGTGTCCTCAGAATATTTGTTAATCCATTTACTCATTTACATCTTGGAAGTTGCATGGAAGCATGGTAGGCAGACGGTTTTAATCAAAATGGCATATCTATAAATGAGAATTCATGTAAATTTAGCTTTCCCAAGATGCTTTACTCTTTAATTTTTTTTCCTCAGGGCACTTATTAAGGAAGGTTTGTAGTCTCTGTGAGTGGATATAGGTGATGAAAGCATCCAAAGATAGGACTTGGCTAGTTGGGCTCTGCACTTACCCTAACATTCAGGTAGCTGAGATAGGAAGAATTTGAGGACAGCCTGAACCAAATAGAGTCCCAGGAAAGGTGGGGCTACACAGGGAAATTCTATGTCAAAACAAACAATAACCCCTCAACAAATAATCAAGAGGCTTAATGTCAGAGCTGGAGATAGCCCACTCTCTGTGGTTTTTCTTTTTAAGGTCTACTGGGGAACTCAGGAGTGTTGGACGTGTGTCTGTTTGGGGTGTCTATCCATGCAAAGGGCTGGACGTGTTCAGGGTCCCGTGAACGCTTGAGATGTTTGACTTAAGAACACAGTGGAGGCCAGGGCCATATAGACTGTGAGTACTGCTGTGTCTTCCACATGTCGCTGGTGCTGACTTGTCCATTCACATTTCATCCCCACAGAATGACCTTATTGGCCAGAGTTTGTTTGACTATCTGCACCCTAAAGATATTGCCAAAGTCAAGGAACAGCTATCTTCCTCAGACACCGCACCCCGGGAGCGACTCATTGACGCAAAGAGTGAGTGCAGGGGAGGCTGTATGCTTCCTCATCACCTCACACTGCCCCGCACTGCCCCACCAATGCCCAGGTACACAGACAGGTTCCTGGGGCCCACTCTGTCTTCTTACCTCCCTGCCTTTTTTCTTCATGATAGCTGCTTGCTGTGGCTAACTGGACACATTTACAGTCACTTGCTTTGTTTACTTTGTAGTCTACATAGAGAAGAGAAGTTTCAGTGTCCAGACTTAGTGGAAGAAGGAACTTTGACTTGATTCTGGTCATTTTTTACAGAATCTAGAACTTCCTAGATGAAAGGGCTCACAATTTCTTGTTCTCCCAGAACAAATCTCTCTCTCTCTCCTTCTCCCTCTCCCTCTCCCCTTTCCTCTTCCTCCCTCCCCTCACCTCGTTGCACTCATGCAGCCTCAGATGATAAGCCTAAGAACACATAAAATGCTACTGTTTCAGCCAGATGGTGGTGGTGCATGCCTTTAATCTCAGCCTCAGGAAGTAGAGGCAGGTGGATCTCTGTGAGTTCGAGGCCAGCCTGGGTCTATCTACAAAGCAAGTTCCAGAACAGCCAGAGCTGTTACACAGAGAAACCCTTGTCTCCAAAAACAAACAAAAACCAATGTTTCTTGGCTCCACACTTTCTGCAGCCTGGGATCAGCATTTCTCTAGCCCCAGCCCTTGTTCCCAGGTCATGACCCAGGGGAGGTTAGGCACACATCCTGCCGTCACCAGTCACTAGCTGTGTGGCTGTGAGGAGTTATTCACCTCTCTATGCCTGTTTCCTCACCTGCAGAACATGCCAATTTCATTGGGAGTTGTTGAAAAGATTAACAATACTGACTTGCTACATGAAGAATGTAGATTGTTCCCAGCACATGGCACATGTGGCATTGGTGTTGGAACCATCTGTGCCCAGGCCGGTCTGGCCTAATGGCTTTCTTGTTTCTCAGTGCTCATGTTGATGGCTGTTGGAGATGGTGTCAAAGAACTCCCCTCAAAGCGCCCTTACACTACTTCATAAAAGCAGACATTGGCCCTGTTGCCCTCTGTAGCCTGGTTTAGATGTCTTCCCCGATCTAAGGAGAAAAAGATGAATGACATTTTGTCCTCGAGGCTCTTCCCTCATAGTCAGAGACACTGGCAGCACCCTGCACAGTAGTTGCAGCCACAGCAATAATGTCAGGCATGGATGGGTAAATGTCACTTAGGTATGAGGACAGGCACCACTGCGTCTGTGGCAGCTAAGGTGGATTTGAGAAGATGAGTTAATGTGTGTCAGGAGGAGAAGGGAGATGAGCAGAGGAAGCGATATGTGGATAGATGCCAGGGTGGAGTGTCATGGCTGCTTTGTTGCCTTTATAGCAAAATAGACACAGTGAAGAGAGCTGAGCCTGTGGAGCAGGCTTGGGTTGGCATTCTAGAGAAGTTAACAGAGTCAGTATTGTGGATGGCAATGTGGAGAGGAGCCCTGGGCAGTGGCTACCACTTGGCATGGCTGCAGTTCCCCTCCTCCCCCAGTGTTGTCTGTAGTCCCAGCTTCCATACTGAGAGTAATGTAAGAAGGCACGTGTATCAGAGTCACCCAGCACCTTTCAGTAGCCTTGCTCCACCTGCAGAGAGTAAATCCACAGCCCAACCCCACAGAAGAAAATGGTAGCTGGGTAGAGGACTTACCTGACATGCATAAGGCCCAGGGTTCCAACCCCAGTGCCATGGTTAAAACACAAGTCTAGTTTTGGGTTTCGGGGTAGCCACATGAGTCAAAAGTAAGAAAAATGCAAAGCTAATTATAATATCTTACCTAACACAATGAATCTAAAATACTATCTTGATGTGGTTGTTACAAAAGATTTTAAATTCTTTACCATTTTTTGGTGCTGTCTCAGAAATCCTTCGAGCACATCACTTACACAGCCTTCTTCAGTTCAGAAAAGCCACATTCCATAGCAGTGTGACGCTAGTGGCTGTCACCTGGAGCACACATCTAGAATGGGGTCCATGAATCGGGCCCCCAGAGGATTATGACTCCAGTCAGGCTGAAATTTTAAGGCAATCCTGTGCCCTCCACTCCGCCACATTCCAGTATCTGAATCCTGTGCATCCTTTGGGTAGGACCCCGTCCTTTGGCTGGGAACCAGGTATCTGCACTTACTTGGCACTAATGATTAAGTTTCCCTGTTAGCAGTCCTTGGTATACCTCCATTTCCCTCTCATCCTCAGCTCCTGTTGGGTAGGAACACTTTGCTGTATTTCTTTTTACTCCCAGACCATGCACACAACCTGTACTACTGCACTTCCTGCCCATCTGTAAACATTCCCATATGAACACGAGGCACCTTCATGAACCTTCTGACCTCTAAGCCCAAGAGAAATGTTATCACATATTGTGGTTATGAACAGTGAGGCAGTAAAGGCTGTGTTTGAGGTCACACTGCCCCTCCTGACAGACAACCTTGCCCTCATTTCACCACATTGTGTGTTAATTTGCAGCTGGACTTCCGGTTAAAACAGATATAACCCCTGGGCCATCCCGACTGTGCTCTGGAGCTCGCCGCTCTTTCTTCTGTAGGATGAAGTGCAACAGGCCTTCAGTTAAGGTGGAAGATAAGGACTTTGCCTCTACCTGCTCAAAGAAAAAAGGTACAATTACTAGCCTTTTCCCATCCTGGCCTTAAGGGAGGCTTGCCTGGGGTCAGGGCTTTTCAGATGGCTAGAGCAGTAGCTACCAAGCCTGAAGCCAAGGCCTCCTCTTACCTTATAGCCTTGGGCAGCTGGAATGGGGATGGGGAGCCATGAAGCCCTGATGTGTTGCATTGGGCACAGATTTGTAAATAGGCTTTCTGTGTTTAACTTCTGTTGAATCCTGATGTGGCTTGGAAAAAAAACACTCAGCCACATTCTTTTGAGTAGCCACTCTTCTAGAATCCTCCTGGCCGGTTTCCCCAGTGAACTCATGTGGTAAATGCATGGGATGCTGTTCAAGGTTCTTGCTTCTTGCCAAGTTCTCTCCTTAGCCCCTTTGGCTGCCCCTCCTCTCTGTCCAGGGGCTTCTCTCCTCTGTCCACATTGATGTATATATAGGTAATGTCACTCACAGGTCAAAACTTTCAAGTTTACATTTCTAGCTCAGGCTTCTATTTTGAACTCCGTGTACATAGGTTAAATCTACTTTCCTAGTAAGCCTCCAGGGCATCTGCAGAGTAGCCACTGGTGCCCCGACATGCTCTACCTGCTAATATTACTGATTTTAGTTAGGGTATTTAGTTATGCCCAGGAATAAGCAGAGATTTTTTTTTATTTTCATTTTATGTATATGAGTGTTTTTGTTTGTATGCAGTATCAGTGTACCACATGCCACCTGGTGCCCACAGAGGCCAGAGGAGGGCATTGGATCCTCTAGAACTGGAGTTACAGATGGTTGTAAGCCACCATATGGTTGATAACAACCAAACCGTGCTCTTCTGCAAGAGCACTAAGTTGTTTCTCCAGTTGTGGAACCAGAGATTTTAGGAAAAGAGCCTAAGCTGCAGCAGCTGCAAAAAGCTAGGCTAGGCCACTTGTCCCTATTGCAGAGAAAGATGTCAGTGTGGTCATACTGGGAAGAGGAACAGATAAGGGGTCCAGTGGCCCCGAGACTATCTGTTGGGGACCTGATGTGTGCTTTAGGATGAAATAGAGAAAGAATGTGGTCTGGGCATGGTCTCGCTGAACACTGTCTCAGCCCAGTTCTTAAACAGTGAACCAAATCTGTCCTTACTATTTGAAGCTACAGGCAGGCTTGGGAGACAATCGCTTCTGTTCCAGGGTGCAGCCTTGCCCTCATGGATAACTGCCCTCATTTGAAGTGGACTGTTCCTCCTGGGTTTGTTCTTCCAAAGTCCAGGGTGATGGCAGGTTTCGGGCAATGGTTTACCTTTGTGCCTTCAGCCAAAGTAAAGGAGGCCATACAAAATGAAGGTGGAGAAGCCAGGCTGTCATCCTGTCTTGTTACTGCTGTGAGGGGCCCATGCTTATCAGCCAAAAAAGCTTTTAAGAGCCAGCTACCCTTAGGTACTCTTCTCAGGTCTTAGGTAGACACTATGTGCTTTCTGCCTCACCACATAGCTGTGTGGTGGTCCTTTAGCAGTGAATCTTTTTATTCCCTACCCCCCATTTAAAACTTCATTGCTTCCTGCTGCTCTTGAAGAATCATGATAATTAACATATGATGAAAATGAGGTCCCTGTCACTCCTCAGTACATTGGAGCCATGCTGGCTTTTCCTTGGATGATGCCAACCCCTTTTAAGGTCCAGGTCCAATGTCTGCACTTCCTCTACCTCTGATTGGAATTTTTGTTTGTTTGTTTTTTTGTTGTTTTGTTTTGTTTTGTTTTTCACTTTGTCCCTGAAGACACAGACTGCCTGTGTCTTTTTCTGGCACCGCACAGACTTCCTTTCTTGTGCTTTCTCAGATTTTTGCATGACTGTATAAAGGTGACCTCCCTGGCTGTTGGGAGGCTGTGATGTCTTTCTGCTGCGTGATGGGCTGTTCAGTGTTGAAGCCCACAGTGTAGGTGTGTCTCAGTTAAAAATGTCTCTCTCTTTTCTGTCTGATCTGTGTTCTCTTCCCCAAATCAGTGAATGGCAGCAGCAGCCACACACCCCTGAAATAGGGGAGCCATCCATATCTTCTTGTTGTTTGACATTCCATACCAAATCCCAACTGTTCTCAGAGGTATTGTCTGCTCCCCTACCACCCTCCCTGCTGGTGTTCAGTTCTCATCATCTCTTGCCATTTTCTGAGTCTGGCCTAGGTACCTCAGCCCTCCTACTTCTGGTTTCTACTCTCTTTCATCCTCATAACTCTTGCTAGTCTATCCAAAGCACTTGATTTTTCTGTTTCTACATTTAAATCCTCTGGAGACCTTCATTTCTATCTGCTGAACACATCTGTCAACAAATAACTCAGGGTCCTGGGGTCCTTATAGGCCTCAAAGGTCCCACCCTGCTTTTCTCACTTTTTCTCTTTTTCTTATTTTCATATGTGCATGTGTATGCATGAGAGGGGAAGGGAGAGAATATTCTGTGGTGTGTGTGGGGGGTGAGGGGTCAGAGGACAGGTTTCAGGAGTTGGTTCTCTACTTCTACCTTATTTTGAGGCAGGATCTCTCTTGTTTCTGGCCACAGCTTGCATACTGGCCTATGAGCTTCTGTCTCTGCCTCCCATCTTGATGTAGGAATTTTAGGATAAGGATATCCCACAAGGCAAGTGTTCTTATTCAGTGAACCATCTACACAGTCTGCAGTCTGTATCTGTGCCTTTGTTCACCATCACATTTTAAAGACACACCCCAGTGCTTATGCTCTCACTTGACCCCCAGCATTGGTTCTGGGGGAGTCTTCTCCCTGGGGTGGTTTGTTTCTCCTTGCTATGCTTTTTTGTGATGCCTTTGGTATATGGGCTCTGCTCAGAACACATGGCTGGACCACTTCTGTCCATTCCATCCACCAGGTGACTCCTTTGGAGAGTGCAGCCTTTTCTTTTGTCCATCTTTTGAGATTGCATCCTACTGCCAACACAGCACTGACACACACCATGGGCTTTTGCTTTCCAGCAGATCGAAAAAGCTTCTGCACCATCCACAGCACAGGCTATCTGAAAAGCTGGCCACCCACAAAGATGGGGCTGGACGAAGACAACGAACCAGACAACGAGGGCTGTAATCTCAGCTGCCTCGTTGCAATTGGGCGACTGCATTCACATGTGGTTCCTCAACCAGTGAACGGGGAAATAAGGGTGAAATCTATGGAGTATGTTTCTCGACACGCCATAGATGGGAAATTCGTTTTTGTAGACCAGAGGTAAGAGCCTACATCTCACCCTTCAGCAATGCAGTAGAGCAGTGGTTCTCAGCCTGTGAGTGGAGACCCCTGGGGTTGAATGATGCTTTCACAGGGTTTGCCTATCAGATATTTTGCATATCAGATATTTACATTATGATTCATAACAGCAACAAAATTACAGTTATGAAGTGGCAGTGAAACTAATTTTATGGTTGGGGGCCACCACAACATGAAGAACTGCATTAAAGGATTGTAGCATCAGGAAGCTGAGAACCACTGCAGTAGGGTATTTCAACCCTAAGCTGTGAAGCTGAAAAGCCTGGGTCATCAGCTGACTTTTCCAATAGTCAAGAATATTATCCCAGAGGAGCGGGGGAGGGAGGTCAGAGAGATGGCTCAGCAGTGGAGAGCACTGGCTGCTCTTCTAAAGGTCCTGAGTTCAATTCCCAGCAACCACATGGTGGCTCTCAGCCATCTGTAATGAGATCTGGCACCCTCTTCATGCATGCTGACAGAACACTGTGTACATAATAAATCTTAAAAAAAGTTACTCTTATTGGACATGTAGCTCAGTTGGTAGAGTGTCTGCCTACCATGCATGAAGCCTTGGGCTCTATTCCCAGCACCACGTGCAGCTGGTATGGTAGTTCATGCTTCTAACCCCAGCACTTGTTTGGTAAAAACAGAAGGGTGAGAAGTTCTAGGTCATTCTCATCTATATAATGTTTAGGGTAGCCTTGTCTTATATAAGACCTTGTCTTAAATAATAATAATCATTTCTAAAAATTGAGATGAATGACTCCAGGCCTCACCTGTCCTCTAATGAATACCCCATTTCTGACTGCATGTTTCTACATAGAGCGAGGGAAGTGAGAATGGTCTCTGCTAAGAAATAGGCTCACTAGGGTATCATGATATATGCACAGATTTTCCTCGGTATTCTTTGATATATAGTGACAGTTAAGTGAGTAGTTTGAAATTCAGTTTTGAAAGGAAACAGAAATATGACCTACAACTACGAAATGCTCCAGGGGCATGACCTTGAATGGAACATAAGACATAGAAAGAGCTATTTAGACCTGAGCACCAGTAGAGTTGGCCATGGTGGACTTGTCTGTGTATTTAAATTTGAATGTAATTAGTTAAAATCAAAACTTGAATTTCTCAGGGAAGATTATTGCACTGCTGTGGAAGGTTTTGTTGGACAGCATTGTTCTTGTCCAGCCTCTTCATTTTATGGATGAAGACTTGAGTTCTAGCCTGTGGATCAGCTTCTGCTGGACTCATAGCTAATTGGTGCTAGATCTAGCCTGTGAACTAGATGCCCCAGATTCGCTGCTGCCTCTTTTGGGCATATTCACAGCCTAATAACTAGCTAGCTACTACAGACAACTACTAGATACCAGAAAAGTAGGCATACACTTTTTAAGACTTTTGGGGTCCCAGCTGTAGGAACCCCTGGGCTTTAGCTGTCCTTATACAGCAAGTAGTGAAAAAGAAGCAGCCCTGCCCTGGAATTTAAATTTGTATTTTATTTTTACATGATGACTATGATAATCTTGTCATTTAAAGACCCCATGAAATTTGATTTCTGATAAAAGCCCCTAAAGTCATTTTTGCTTTATTTTGCTCTGTTTTTGTTTAACCCTGATTCAAGTTGGAAGGCTGGGTGGGCTGGGAATCCACATAGTTAATCCATTGAAGAGCTGTTAGCTGTTTTGCCTCCAGCTTTGACCTTGCTCTCCTGGGGGCTGCAATGGGGAAAAGTATCCACATAGTTAATCCATTGAAGAGCTGTTAGCTGTTTTGCCTCCAGCTTTGACCTTGCTCTCCTGGAGGCTGCAATGGGGAAAAGTGGGCTGCTCATCCATAAGTAATTGTTCATTTTAGGAATGGCCTTTTTTTATTATTATTTAAAAAGCTCTTGTTCTCTCTTAGGGCAACAGCTATTTTGGCATATCTACCACAGGAACTTCTAGGCACATCATGTTATGAATATTTTCATCAAGATGACATAGGACATCTTGCAGAATGTCACAGGCAAGGTAAGCTTGGCCAAAGGAGGAGTCTGATGTCCTAAAGTATGCCCTGGTTCTACACTCCTTCCATAGAAAATTGCCCCTACTATGTGGGAGTCAGCTAGCCCAAGACTCTTCAAGCCAAAACGTGTGAGAGGAGAAAAGACTGTTGGCTCCAGGAACTATTTGTCTCCTACAGATGCTCAGCCCCTACTCACCACATGCCCGGTCTCTCCATAGAGGCCATCTGTAGAGACATCTCTTGGTTAGGGTTCACTCTGAGCCTGTACAGATTTCATATGTCCTGTACTGATCTGTTTTTTTTTCCATACCAAGCTGCACTGCCTCCTGTATTTTCCTTGACTAATAGTGTCAGTCTTATTTCTACTGCTGTGACAAAGTACCCTGATTAAAAAGCAACTTAGGGGGAGGGAAAATTTATTTCAGCTCACAGTTTCAGGTTACAGTCCATTGCTACAGGGAAGTCACAGCAGCAGGAGCTTAAGACAGCTGGTCACATGACACCCACAGTCTCGAGTAGAGAGAAAGTGAACACATGTGTGCTCACTTGATGCTTGCTGCGCTCATCTCAGTCTCTCTACTCTTACATAGTTGAGGGCCCCACCTAGGAAATGGTGCTGCCCATAGTGGGTTGTGTCTTCCATACAAGTTAACTTTATTAACACAGTCCCTGATAAATGTGCCCACAGGCCAGCTCAGTGTACCCCTCGTTGAAACTCTCTTTCCAAGTGAGTCTAGGTTGTGTTGAGGTGACACAGCTGACCATCACAGATGGTATGACCACATCTGCAGCCCATCCCTTCACTTCACTGTTTCTCCCAGAACTTGTTCAGTTGCTTCAGACATTCTTTTATGAAGTGTCCCTATTTTCACCATCCCCACTGCCTTGACTCTGGTTCAACTTGCGCTTGTTGGTGTCTTGCTTCCTCTCACCCTGGGTCCATCATCTGTAGTTATGTCATTCATTGTTAAATAGTTAGATAATTGTTAACCAGTTGAATAAGTGTGAGAATGTCATATCCCTGTTTAATGTTCCAATATTCAGATTCAAGCACAACTACTTTTGACTGGCACCAGATCCAAACTTCCTACCGCCCATCTCCTGGCCCTGACCCAGTTCCCAGATTTGTTCCATCTGTGACCTCTCACCTGTGCCTGTCTGCTAGGCCAGTCCTGTCACCCCTTGGCCTTTGTGTGGTTCTTTCCTGCTCTTGGCTAGAGTGTTCAAGTAGTGTTGGTCACTCCTCCAGAGGACATGAGTCATATTCTCCCTCCTTTGTCTCTAATGTTTGGGGCATGAAAGCTGCTTATGATATTTGTTTGTTTCTCAAAGAAGGAGTTTTGAACAGGTCAGTGGCCTCTATTGACTCAGGTTCCTGAAACTGGCCAGGGACTACTGCGCTTGGGCTTTGTGACAGGGAAGGAGCATGGCTGGGGTTCACTCAGACCTGACTCCCGCATTCCTGAAAGCCTTTATTTTCCTAGATTCTGGAAAGGAGTGGCAGGTTGGTAAATACACTGAAAGGTGATGAGTTAGACCCTTGGAAGCTGTCTGTCTGAGCATTGACCACGTGCGCACTTGGCTTTCTAAAGGGTGATGGCATGGGGACTGAGTACCTTTGGGATCCGGGGTCAGGTGACCTGTTTAATATACTCACTGGTTTGAGACAATGACAGTAATCATAGCTTCTCTGAATTTTCAGTTTTACAGACAAGAGAAAAGATCACAACTAATTGCTATAAGTTTAAGATCAAAGACGGTTCCTTTATCACACTACGAAGTCGATGGTTCAGTTTCATGAACCCGTGGACCAAGGAAGTAGAATACATTGTCTCAACCAATACTGTTGTTTTGTGAGTATCTCCTGTGAGATATACCCTTGCTTCAAAGAGAGATGCCTTGGGATTCTTACCTGGGACAAAGGGTACAGATAAGTAGCCAGCATCCACATTTTAATGTCCTCTTACTAGTGTCTTGTGATAGAAGGAAGCCAGGAAGGGTTGTTAACCAAGTCCCAATGGTGAGACTTGCTCCAAGAAACATTCAACCCTTGAAACCCTAACCCTGACTCCACACACAAGCATCCACTTATGCTGGTGGAAGTGGGTGTCAATCATCAGTGAAAGGCTTACATAGGTACCAGTTTTTTTGTTTTTTTTTCTGGCCTTGGGTGAGGATGGATGATTCTCCATGGCTAGCAGGCTAGTGGTCCAAGCCTTGGCAGATGGAATACTCTCAGAGGCTTCTGATGCCTATTAAGTGAGCATGGAGAGGGAAGAGTCTTCTCTCACAAGATTCTTATCTGTACCTCCTTCACCCACCTGTCATTAGAGGCAGGCAGGGACCTGGAGCTGGGTGTGCTGTCGGCAGGTAGGAGAAAAGGGCTGTAGCAGTGGGAGGGGGCTACTGAAGCCACTTCTACTAAACCATGCTACATAGAAATTCGGGAGGCCCAGGTGGGCAGTGAAGCCAAAGGCCTGGATGCTGTCCATTGTGTTATAGAACAGTGAGTAGACCTGTTCAGCCACTCAGACAGACGCTTCATTTTCTGGCCTGTCCAGGTCCCGAGTGGACACCGGACTCCTTGGCCAAGGTGAAAGGTGCACAGTTCTGAGCAAGCCTGACTCATGTTTCCTTATTGCTGGGATGTTCACAGAGCCAATGTCCTGGAAGGCGGGGACCCAACCTTCCCACAGCTTACAGCGTCCCCCCACAGCATGGACAGCATGCTGCCCTCTGGAGAAGGTAATTATGTCCTGCGTGGGTATGGGGGCTTGCTAATGAGAAGCTGCTTATGACCAGGTATTCTCCCATCAAATGTTCAGGGCATCCTGTTGCCATGTTTTGTGGAGCAGACCTTGACATGATGTGCTGAGTCCCAGTGGGAAGAGAGGCCACTGCCATCTTACTGGGATGTTGTGAATGTGTGTGGCTCTTCATTGCAGCCACCAAGACTCCTTGTTTCTCTGTGCTTTCCTCTTCCTCGTTGCCCATGGGCTATGATTTGATCTTAGCCTGTGGTTTAGCCTCACTGGCTCCTGTGTTTGGGAGAAAGGTATCTGTTGGCACTGAGAACTTGCCATAACCAGGGGGCTCCTTCCCTGTGGCTCAGCACTGGTTCTACTGTACTCATTTCTCTGGGATCACTTCTACTTATATGGCTTCAGCCCGCTTCTTCCACTCATGACTCCCATGCCCACTCCGTTTTCCTAGATAGAACCAAAATTAAGAATATCCCAAGTACATCTTCTGCACTTCCTCTTTGAAGTCCAAAGGCACTGTTCTGTCTCTTTTGTCTCTTACACTCACCCATTGGGTCTGCACTGTTTCCTAACTTTAATCTCACCCTTTCAATTCCATACTCCATTCTACATAACATACAACATAGCAACATTCTGGCTAGCATCAGACCACATAAGTGACAGATACTATTTTACCTTCTGATGTAATAATCATTGTGATGTCTAGAGTAACACATTACTCTCAAACTTGTTTAGAGGCACCAATGTCATCTCTGTGGTCACCTATATACAGCTCAGTAACAGAGGTTGGTAGCCTAGGAGCAACAGGCCACACCCTATAGCCTATAGTTTACATCCTGTAGACTAGTCTGTCTAGGTTTGATGGAGTCTTACCTGACATACTCAGCTAAGGATACATTTCTCAGGCTGTGTCCCTGTCATTAAGTGACACATAAGTGCAGCTCATGCTGTGTGGTAGACTTATAGTAACCCACATTGCACCCAGTGCATTTTCTGTGCATGATCTGATTGCTGTTTGCACCAGTTCCAAGCTTATGTCCTAATCATCCTCCATGAACACCTTCCAGTAGACATCAAAGCTCTGTCCCACCTCAGTGCTCTTGCACATTGTCTGTGCCTGGGGTTCTCTCCTCACTTTACCACCTGTCTGACTAATATATAATCAGCTTTCAAGAAGACTCAGCTCAGTGACCATCCTCCAGAAAGCCTTGGAGGAGGCTTGCATGAGTTGGGTATTCCCTGATTCCCTGTCAAACTCTGCTGCTTTGTCTTTGGCACATGAAGGAAATTAGCTGGTTCATGTCAAAACTTTGGCCTCTGATGCTCAATAGAATCTTAAGCCTTCCCCTGCTAGAACTATTTTTTCCTGAGAAGGTAGAACTTTGATGTTCCATTTCAAGTGGAGAGAGGAGGTTTCCATTTAACACACAATAGCATTTCTTGCTTGGGTTTCTTCTTTCCTACTGTCAGATTCTTTTGTCGTAGGTGGCCCAAAGAGGACTCATCCCACTGTTCCAGGCATTCCAGGGGGAACCAGAGCTGGGGCAGGAAAAATCGGTCGAATGATTGCAGAAGAAATCATGGAAATCCACAGGCAAGTAAACCTTTGGCTGCCTCTCTACCCAGTTGTCTCAGTACTGCACTTACCCTGCCAAGTACTTCACAATGTGTGGAGACACTTTAGGTCATCACAGTTGGGTAGAAGGTTTCTGCTGATCACCAGGGGAAAAAAGACCAGGAGTGCTGCTTATACTGCACAGGACTTTTCTGTTCCTCTGGCCCAGTCTAAAATAGAAACAGTGCCTTAAATAAAGGAGCTAGACCAAACAGACCAGAGCTTAAGAATCTCTAAGGGAAGTCCAGTTCCTGACACACTGAATGTATTCCAGGCAGCTTCCTAGTGAGGATGGATGCCCCAGAACATCACAGGTCTGGAGTAAGATGCAAGCAGCCAGTGACTTAGGCCTTAACAAAAAATACTTCAAGCTACCTAGAGTCACTAATAGAGGCCAAGCAGAACAGCTAGCAACAGAGGCAGCTTTAGGGGGCATCCTTTCCATGTGGAAGCAAAGCTTGGCAGCAGCTGCCTGGGATTCAGTCCTGGGCCTACATCTACCTGACTCTGTTTAGGAGAGCCATCCAAACTTTGGTATGCTAACTTAAGCCACAGAAGGGAGGTGGTATGTCTCTCATAAGGACTGTGTTAGGATTTTGAATGAACAAACAGCCTGATACACAAGAAATACTCAGAAACCATGAGCTCAGTCCAGTATTTAAACATAGCCACTGATAGGGAAACAGTTTGTTATATATGTCTACCTGAATTTGGAGAACCAAGGAGGTAGTAACCAGATACTTAAAAATATAAACGTAATAAAACATAATTGTAAGGAAAGAGGTGGGGGGCCCAGAAAAACAGATATTCTCTGTAGCCACTGATTTGGTGTATTCTCTGGTTGGCCAGAAGGGTGCTTGTCCCCATGGGAGTAAGCTGTACTCCAAACCAGAGTGATGGGTTTAGCTGCTTGCCTCCACCTCTGGAGAGGATGAGGAGACAGGATACAGTATGATCAACTCAGAATGGCCACTATATACCCTGGGCTGTATGCAGACCATCAGAACAGTGTCAGAGTGCTTCACCAGAACAGTCCTAAAATCTGTGAGAGGTCTATTTTCTTTATTATAATAGGACAGGTGGGAATTCACAGATTGAGATAAGCAAGGAAGGTTTTGAACTTGGTCTTAGTGTAAGGTTTACAATAAAGTTGGGTGTTCCCACTAGAAAATCAGGACTACTCTAGCATGAGCATGTGAATGGTGTACAGGGCTAACTAACTGGCCAGACTTTGTGTAGAAAGGAAGCACATAGCTATAAAGGGAGAGGGTTAAAGACTCCTAATGCATAATCCTGAGTTTCAAGATGTCATTCTGTGTAGGATATTGAACAGATATCCAAAATGCCATGTTACACATTGTGGAAGCTCACTTAGAATAGGGAGAGATGAAGGTGGGCATGCTTGATAACCCAGGAATGAGGCCTATAGAGAAATTTCTCCTATAGAGAAATCAGCCATCTAGGACCAGGTGCTGGAGGTAACATAAGGAATGGTGAGAAGGCAAGTCAGGGATTGATAGGGAGCCTGGCTTCACAGTCCTCCATCCTAAGTAGACAATGTTGGGAGAAACAAGTTTCTGGTAATCAGTTATAGCCATCTGTATGTTCCAGTGTTACACATAATAGGGTTGTATCTTGAATTTAAGGAGCTTATAGGAGACAGAAAACCTTGTTTTCTCACAAATACAGACAAGTAGTCAGTGCAGGCCAAGATTTATTTCTTAGGCATAGAGACTGGGCCCCATGTGGCTCTAATAGACTGTGTTCATCATGGAAGAACTGAAAGCCTGGTGGTAATACAGCTGCCTCCATACTCCCCAGACTCTGGCTCCAGCTTGTACATGACCCCAAAACACATGGCAGGGGTGGAAAGGACTCATGTCAGCACACTAGCACATGAACAAACCCCTGGTACAAGCCACAATTTGGCTCCTTGGGGTTGCCAGCCTCACAGGTGTACACAGACTTACACAGTTCTGAGTCTCCTAACAAGCCTACCCTAGTGGGGGTAGTCCGGAAAAGTCCCAGATCCATCTTTCATCCCTTGCTTCCCAAGAAGGTTGCTCCTGTTTACCCATTAGATGTGGCCAAGCTGCACTGCTACCTTCCATTTCCTAGGGGCAAGAACACCTATCGCTTGGCTCTACATCCAACTCATGATAGCCAAAATGGTGGCTAAACTCCTGAGGTCTCCAGCTCACCTGAATTCTATGAATAAAGCTGGCCACTTACTTAAAATTCATCAATCTGAATCCAAACCCTAATTCAAAGGCTTTGACAGTTAACTGCTTTGAGTCTGCATTCCAGATTAGATGCATTCAGAGCAATCCAGCTGACCATTAGCCTTTGGAAATAAGGCTTTATTGGAGCACAACTATCTATACTCATTATGCATTGCATGTGAACTACTGTGACAGAGTCCATATGGCCTACAGAACCAAGAGTTAGCTCTGGCCCTTACAGAACATTTGCCAGTCCCTAACGGAACTCCTTATCCTCCTTACCCTCACTCTTTAGCATCACCCTACCCACCACCCTGAAAGGCCTTGTAATCAGCTCTTCTCTAACAGGATAAGAGGGTCATCGCCTTCCAGCTGTGGCTCCAGCCCACTGAACATCACAAGTACGCCTCCCCCTGATGCCTCCTCTCCAGGAGGCAAGAAGGTAAGCATGATGGCTTAGACTAAGAGAGCCTCTGCCCAAGTTCTGAAATGCAGTGACATGTGGGACAAATTGAGGTGTTCTTTCCTCCTCAAAATACACACATCTGTGAGAGGCTGACTACAAACACACTGGCTCTTCGGGAGGCTTGCTGGCTTGCTCAAGAGGATGTATTGCATGTGAATGCAGGAATGCAGGAGGAACATTCTGAGGAAGGAGGAATGCCAGTCCCTTTGAGGGCACAATTCAAGAATTCCTGTGAGGGAAATATTAGGAAGGACCCATAGAACCTTACTGCCAGAAACTTCAGGTGAACAGAAACCATTAGTAAAAGCAACATTAGCCACAATTCAAGCCAGGCTTTATAGCTGAACACTTGGGGATCTGTCACCAAAATGTGTCACTATGATGTGATACCATCGGCCACAAGAACTTCATGAAGAGCTGTCTAGAAGATGACACTATAAACACCTGTTTTCATCTTTATCGGAGACTCTGCAAACCTATGTAAAGTATATTGACTGTAAGTTTAAAAAAACCAATCTGTTAATAGCACCCAAGATTAGAAGAGCACAGGGGATTCTGTACATGAAATCTTCCTTCCCTGTCCCCAGATACAGACTCCAGGAAAGACCCACCTGTGATTCCCAAGGGACTAATACCAAAAGCAAAGCAGAGCTTTTTGAAACTGGGCTCCTAACAGGCTCAGCTTACCCAGATCTGGTGCTGCCAGAATGGGTGAATGTGGGGGTGATGCGAATCTTCAGCAAGTTTTCATTTGAAAAGAAGTTTTGATTCCTCCAGGAAATTGAAAAGCCAGCCAGTTAGTGGGTAAGAGCACAGCCACAGCAGAGTGGACCCCAGTTTGAAGCCTGGCTTTGCCTGTGGGAGTTATGCAATTGCTATACTTCTAAGTTCCTATTTCCCTTTTAATGGGGCTGATACTGGTAGGATAGCAGTGGTCTCTCTGTCCCTGGAGTTCTACATATGACAATAAATGTGGAAGTGCCTGGCCCTTGGGAAAGACTAAGAACCCATCAGTGGATTAATTGGCCTGCTGTGCTCTTAGCTCTGTTGTCCCTATCTCCCTAGGGTAGTCCCCCTGACCTAATTCACCTTTCAGGCTTCTTGGTACTTCAGAGGCTTTCATTCTATTATATACTTATCACTTCGACAACATTCATTCATCAACCCCACCCCTTCCCACTTCTCACATGGAAAATCCAAGCTCTCCCTCCAGAATTAACAATCCAGGTCTCCAGATGAACAGCATCTGCCAGTAATCTAAAGCCATGCCCCACATCATAAAACCTGAAAATTTTTTTCCTCTTTGGTGGCTTTTAAAAATGGGTCTAGAACAAAACACTGATTTTTTTATTGTTGTTGTTGTTTTTGTCTGTCCTTGGCAACAGGACTCATGAGAAAGCATGAATAAGTTAAAAATAATTGCCGAATTAAATGACTTGGCAAATTAGAGCAAAGGTGGCCCTTCAGTCAATTTCTTTTCTTTGTAGTTTTTCAAGACAGTGTTTCTCTGTGTAGCTTTGTAGACCAGGCTGGCCTAGGAACTTGCAGAGATCTGCCTGCCTCTGCCTCCTGAGTGCTGGGATTAAAGGCGTGCACCACCACCACCCGGCCCTTCAGTCAATTTCAATTTTGTCATTTAGCCCTAAGTTGTTTCAAGCTGAAAAGGGGAAACTGGGTGAGCCTCCATAGATCCCTGGGGGAGTAAGGGCATCCAGGGGCTTCAAGTCAAGTTTAATTAAGCAGGAGTCCCACAAATGACACCTTTTGGGAGACTCTCAAGACCCTTTTAAGGGTTTGCCAGGTCAAGACTATTTTCATAGCAGTGTTAAAAAGTTACCATTTATTTTCATTGTGTGATACACAAAAAACCTGTGTCACCAAACTTTTAGAAGTCATTGTATTCTTCACTATACACAATAAAATGTAAGCCAATTTGACAGTGTTCTCAATGAAGCGTTAGAAATGATTAGTGGAGGGACTGGAGAGATGACTGAGCCATTAAGAGCACTGGCTGCTCTTCAGGGGACCTGGGTTTGATTTCTAGCACCCACATGGCAGCTACAACAACCTGTGACTCAAGTTCAGAGGCTCTGACATCCTCTCTGACCTCCAAGGGCACTGCACACATGTGGTACATTTATTTATATGTAAGCAAAACACCCATATAAAATTAAAAAACACTTAAAAATATTAAGAAATATTAAAATGAAAAAACTTAGTGGAGCCTTACTGTATATTTACTATAGTTGCCTCAAGAAGCATTTGTGTGATTTCATCACAAGCTAAACTAGTTGTTCCTTTCCATACATTTGTCACTTCGAGGACAAATGGCAGTGATAAAATTAGGATTTCAGTCAAGACTGGGATTTTTAAAAAGCTTGTACCTGCTATTTGAGCTCAACAGCTTCTTCAAACTTACAAGACGACAAATGGTGATTATCTTCATGCTAATTTAAAAGATCTGCTAACACTAAACCAATACCCTACCCTCTCTCATTCTCGACCTTCCTAATACTGCAACCCTTTAACACAGTTCCTCCTATTATGGTGATCCCCATCTATAAAACTATTTTTGTTGCTACTTCATAACTATAACTTTGCTACTGTTATGAGTTGTAATGTAAAATCTGTGTTTTCCAATGGTTTTAGGTGACCCTTTTGAAATGGTCATTCAACCCCAAGGGGTCACAACCCACAGGTTGATAACCATTGCTCTAGGTGATCAATGCAGGATATTTCAAAATCACCCAAGATTAATCCATTCTAAGTGAACTAATATCATCTAAGTGATTAGTGCAGGGATATTTCAAAATCACCCAAGATTAATCCATTCTAAGTGAACTAATATCCTCTAAGTGATTAGTGCAGACTATTTCAAAATCATCTAAGGGATATCCTTTACAAATGCCAAGATGTATACATGGGTTTTTAACATAACGGTGCACGCAACTTAATTGATAACACACTGTAATGAACATTTAAGAGATATCTACTTAAGAACCGAGACATATCAAATACCAAAATTACTGGAAAGGCTATTTCTGCCTCATACAACTACTTACTTGTTTGAGGTTTAAATTTTCTTCATATGTATCAAATATCATCCTAACAGGCTGAATGGGGCAGGTATGAGAATCCAGCTGAACTCTCTTAAGCCAGGCATGATGTTTGAGAAGATATAGAACAGTAACACACTTAAAAAAAAATGTTTTTATAATTTGTGGTTTTTTTATTAAAGTGTTTTGGTCATTTGTGATTTTTTATTAAATGCTTTTATTCATGTGAATACATAAAGGGTTTATATTTCAAAAACCATGTTATTTATATAAATACAGCCTACCTAGAACAGTTTTTTTTGAGGGGGGGCATTCAGTCACTTTTAGAATCTACAGGGATCCCACACTGCAAAGCTCAACTGTGAAGAAACCAGTTGCAGTGCCATCTACTGGCAAAGTCTGAAGTC